CAGCTTCTCTGGTGGTGTGGATTGTAGGCTGCTATTTCTTTGCTCTAGGTCAAAATCCATATATGAGTGAGTACATACCATGTTTGTCTTTTTTGTGACTGGGTTGCCTTACTCAGGATGGTTTAAACATTACAAATACAACTTTGTCAATTTGACATTCATTCATAGAACTTTGGGGCATCACACCTCACCACTTACCTTCAAAAGTACAAGACTATCTTATGAGGCAGTATCTATTCAGAGTCCCCATATCCTCTAGAACTCCTGATCCTGTTTAGAATACATAGTCTTTTCTGAGACATAGTAAATAGTGAGGGTCTGTGAAATAATAAAAACAAAACAAAACAAAAATCCCAAAATGAAACAAGATACAGGCTTCCAGTATACCTGAGTAAGAAGTATCATTCTTCATCAAAACTGGAGTATTGGGGGCTATATCAAGAAATGATAGGAACAAACCAAGACTGAAAGCTGGAAGCATTTGGACATCTGATTAAAGCAACTGTATTTAGAAAGGTTTGGGTAGCTAGCCTTGATCTACTATCTCTGCTGCCTGATATGCCTGACATGTCCTGAGCAGACATTCCAAGTACCTTAAGTTCTGATACCCTTAGTATCATCCTATTACTTATGCTTTACCTCAATAATGACCTTTCAGAGACTTCTCAAGTAGACTATGATTATGCCATGCATTGCTCACCCTCATTTACATTCTAGACTTTTGAAGCAAGTATCAATGATTCCTATAGCTTTGTATTTCTATGCCTACAAAGCCAGTGCCACCTGTATCATGCTCCAAGTTATATAGTAAGCTTTTGATACAGACTATGAACAAAAATGTCATGGGATATTCTACATGAGGTTAAGTTAATGCATATTTTTTGTAAACTTGTTTATTTATTTAATCTCCTGTGATGGTTTTCCATTTCTCCTCTCCTCTCAGTTCCCCGACCCTTTTCATTCAATGTCCCCCTCCCCAACCATTCCTACTCTGTTTCTGTATAGGAAAGTGAGGTCTCATATATCAACAAAACATGGCATATTAAGTAGTAGTAAGACTAAGAAACTCCCAATGTATTAAAACTGGGCAAGGTGACCCAGTATGAGGAGTAGTGTCCCAAAAGCCAGTAAAAGTGTTGAGACAGATCCTGCTCCAAGTATTAGGAGTCCCACAAGAGGACCATGCCATACAACTGTATCATATAAACAAAGTGCCTAGGTCAGTCATATGCAGGCTCTTTGGTTGTCATTTCTATTTTTGTGAGCCCCGATGAGCCCAGGTTAATTGATTTAATAATGCATACTAACTGTAAATAGGGTGTTAGTGATAAGTAAATAAGTTAGTACCTCCCATTATTTTGTTGCAACCCAAATCATTCCCCACACAAAAAGGAAACAATGAGTTCTTTCCATACTTAGTTAGAGTCACCTATTGTTTTAGATTCCCTTAGTGTTTCCTCAACCTTCCTGATGTTGTAACCCTTTATTATAGTTCCTCAAGTTGTGATGACCCCAACCATAAAACTATATTTTTTGTTACTTCATAACTGTAATTTTGCTACTGTTATGAATCACAATGTAAATATCTAATAGGCAGGATATGGAACCCTTTTTAGAAGGGTTATTAATTCCACAAAGGTATCACAATCTACAGGTAGAGAACCACTGCCTTAGATGCTAATTCCAATACCAACATATGAAGTGGACCTTCAAATACCCTTCTGACTATCTGTAGGCAATTCATTCATAATGGCAACACCTAATGTCATATGCATTTGGAAAATAATCTAAAAGAATAGTAATCATATCAGTTGAGAATGTGCAAGAAGGATCAATTCATGGTAAAAATAGGAAATACCAGTGCTCATTAGGTTGTTGAAAAACGTCAAGGTCAGATTTGTTTAACTTTCATTGAGTTATTTGATGGAGTAGACTCTTTGGACCCCAAACCATAGATGATTTTGGTACATGCCAGAATTAAATGGCAAAAGGTTATTGCTAATACTACACATCCATGTTATGAAGAAAATTGACTGAGAATCAGTAGAATTTCCATAGTAATAAGCAACCTTCATCATGCCACACAACACCATAGTAGTTGCTGGAATAAAGTGTCACTGTGGGTCCTGCACAATCAAATGATAATGCAACACCCAGCCAAGCAAGATATAACCAGTGGGCCAATATTGGTACAACTATTATGAGTTCAACAAAGCACTTTCTTATTGGATTTAAGGCCATCTCAGCACCATAGAACGCATGTTTGGTATTATTCAGAATAAAAAATTTGTGTCTAAGGATGTAATAATCCCTAATAGGATGACCTCTGCAATTGTTTGCTTCAGTAGATGTGATGTTTATACAAGTTGCCTCCTAAACTATATGTTTACCTGTTACTTTTTGTATCTGTCTAGCAAGTAAAACTCTGTACAGCATTCCATGAATATTGGTAAAGACTTGCAAAGGATAAGTTGTTCAGAATAAATACCCATTGCTATGGCCTGGGAGTTCAGGGAGCATTGCAGATTTATTGATGGGAATGTACAAGAACCTGAAGAAAATAGTGAAAGTCTGGGTCATAGCTATTTCCATTTAAGTATAAAAATCCCATCAGTATTTATGAACCAGAGGTGGCTGAGGCTATATAAAACATGTCTTAGACAATAGTAACAGATGGGAAATTAGATAAACACCCAAGATACACTTATGTCTGTGGTCACAGATTCTAGGCTGCAGTCACTGACCCCTAACAGACAAAGGTCATTGAATCATCATTTGGATTTCAGGTGTTACTTCCTTGTGCCCTCTAGCAGGATATGCTCTACTATATAGCAGGTAGAAAGCTAAAAGAAGGAATGAAAGGACCAATGTGATGCAGATTTCCTGAGTCAGCAGGCAAGCTGGGTTGTGACTTCTCAAGGATGCCACTCTCTTTGATTCCAATATTTTCCTGTAAGTAACTCCTCATTTTAGTTCCCCTATAGATGCTTGAACATTGTTATTGGCTTTTTGTTTATTTCTACAGTTGTTAACCTATCTGGGACTATTGGACTTTAGTTCATAACTAACTAGGAGCTGCAAAGCTGTATAGACTTTAGATGTATTTTGTGGTCATTGCTCTAGAAAGAAAATGCATTTTGTGATTAGTAGGTTTTCAAATAGAGACATGTAGTTATGTCTAGAGACATTTTGTCTTGTCTTAACTGATATGATGTACAAAGTGTGTGTGGGGTTGCATTATGGGTGTCAAGGGATTAAAAACCAGGGATTTGTCAGAATATTACACAAAATAGGCATATCCAAAACGGGGAATGATTCATCTCCAAAAGTGAAAATTGCAGATTAGGAGACATTAAGATGAAATGAGAGCAATAGATTCTAATGGGTCAAATTAGTAACATTTTAGGAAGGAAAAAGTAACATATTCTGGTTATATACTCTTGACTATGAGTTCTTTCACTTGAATGAGTGAAACCAAATTATTACTTCTGGAGAGAAATGTATGCAAGCATGTGGATGTGGGTCTTATAGAACCTTGACAATTAGGCTCAAGTAAAAGAATGATGCAAAACCTCACAATAATGTTAATTTGGTTCTATTTTCTTAATAATATTTCAAGAAAAATGAATGAGCAACAACCATGAACTTGATTTTATGTAGAAAAAGAAAGTAATGAGTCTTCTTTCTTTCTCCTTGGAGAGTGAAATTCCTTCAGTTGATAAATGGACAGAATGTACACATATATATTTAATATATATACATATCACTCATAGAATACATTTAAGAAATCATGTGCATTTTTGACAATATAGTAATATGAATTATTTGACAACATTTTTATTGTTATCTTATTTTATGTAGCTTTTCAATATATTTAGATACTTTAAGTATTTGGGTGTTGATATTTCCCATGCAGTCCCCCACCAATTATTTTGTATTGGGGATTACTGCTAGTGCTAATAAAGTTTCTTTTGAAATATAAAGTCATAAGAGTCACATATTATAACATAATTTGTTTCAGACTTGTGTCAACAAAAGTAAATACCATTTTAGTTTGATAAGTGGATGCTGTATCACCTTGTTGTAAAATATTAATGTGTTACAGTTCTGTGGTTCTTCATGTAAAGGACACAGGTAAAGGTAACTGATGAAACCAACACTTACCACAGCAAAAAAAAATTTAAAGGCATCTGTTACACAGAGCAGAGAAAATAGATAAAAATCAAAATCCTGAAGTGAGTGACATGTCACCAAGTGTGGGCCTTTACAAGTAATGATGACAACCCTTGGCAACACAGAGCCTCAAAGGATGTGTAAAGTCCTCTGTGTGTGTGTGTGTGTGTGTGTGTGTGTGTGTGTGTGTTGCCTTCTGAAATTGCTAATAACACGACTATAAAATAATCACACAAACTGCAAATATAGTTTATTTTTTATGTTTTCATTATAACTATATTGCTAAGTCTATTCATAGGCTTATTGTAAACATCAAATTGAGAGGAAAATGTCTGAAATATTTTCCAAAGAAATAAATACATGACATTTTGGAGTTGCTTTTGCAATCCCAGGCAGTGGCATCATGTTTATGAGAACATTCTCTTCATCCTCAATATCAATAAAAAGGCAAATCATGCATTTTCACTAATAATGAAGATAAAGCAAACCTGTGCATGTTACTTTTGTCAGATTACGGTCAAATTGGATACTGAACTTCTAATTACAAAATTTTGAGTGTCTTATTGCTCAAAATCAAGAGAATTTTTCAGGACATTAAACAACAATAGGACGAGATCATTCTGATTTATGTTAAGCTCCATGTGTTAGGAAAATATGGAAACATCTGAAAATAACATTAAAAAGGCAGTGTCTTACATTTCAAAATATAATTCTTTGCACATATATTTACTTAACTAAATTGTACACTGTAAGATGTTTATCACTCAGCATATCTAAAACTACCAAACTGTGTAAAGAGGCCACTGTGGTAAGGCTTCCATTGACAGGGGGATTGTCGACAACCTAAGAGAAAGGGATCTCAGACTGGCTTCTCTTCTTTAGCAAGGGTATCGCTCCTGCTCCTACTGTCCTACCTGCTTTTTGGAGATAATGTGACCTCTGCAGCCACCTGTGTCAAGAGGGATGGAGATACCCAGAAGACGTTAGAGAAACTGTTTAAATTGGCCACCTTTATGTCTCAGATCACTAGTAGCCAAGCTGCAAAAATGTTCACTGAATTTGTAAGTACCCCCCGACTTATGGCTTCTTTATAAAATGGGTCTTCATGTTACTGATTGGGATGTTGTATAGCCTAAAATGGAAAGCATCATGACCCAAATTTCAAGCAATATAAGATCATACGTGGAAGAAATCAGTAGCCACTAATGTCTTTGACAGAAGAAAGGGGCATTCTGAAGAAATGTTGGTTATTTCCTCGCATGATATAATTTTAACATTTTTCTCTATTTTTGAGCTTTATCTTAATTCATGCTTGTGACATAAAGCCATAAAATGTATGGCTAAGTAAAAGGTGTGAATTTTATTCATTCATTTAGTATAGTGGTTCTCAACATTCCTAGTGCTTCAGCCCTTTAATACAGTTCCACATATGGTGATGAATCCCAATCATAAAATTTTTCCATTGCCACTTCACATCTATAATTTTGCCACTATTATAAATTGTAATGTTAATATCTTATATGGAACATATCTGATGTGTGACTCCTGAAGGGGTTGAGACCCATAGATTGACAACCACTGATTTAGTAGTTTGGCCTACACTGGTGTTCTTTCCTTTGGGTACTATAGATAACCAGAAAAGGAGAACTTCTTTCCAGGGCACTGCAAACAGTAGAGCTACAGACACAGGTTATCAGGAGCAGAAATTTTCAATACTTTTCTTTATAAATCTTCAAGTGCACTGAATCACTTTTAAACAATTCAAATTCATGTGTTTGTAATAAGAAGGAGTTCTGGTGTAGAGATGGTAATATGTCCTGCCTTCATGATTCAGACACATTAAAAGCTACGTATTATGATACCTGTTTTAGAGCAATCATGGAGCACTTCCATACACATATCAATGGACATATAATAATGTGACTCATGTTTGCATAACAGACACACACAGTCCCAGTATTCATTCTATACACTGTTTCACTCACTCCCATTACTTGATAGGATGCCCTGAATATTTGAAGTCATCCTAAATATCCTTTCAAATATCAAATATGTCACCAATAATAGATATACATGATGATTTTAAGCAATAAATCTATTATAGCAAATTAATGGATAAATATTATTAAATGCAAATGTTATTTTCTGTTGCTTATTTCCAATAATATTATTCCAAGGATTTTTATGACTTGGTACAATCAGCAAAATAGCACTCTGAATTCACAATGACATTGGTAAATGACAGTTGTACAGATGCAGATGTATTAGCATCTTAATATTAAGTCTTAATATTAAGATGTCTAAAAAATAAGTTAGAAACTATATATGATTTGTTACTATGGCATTTGCCACAAATGCCAGACAAAGATGATACAGCACTTAGTACTTTTAGTTTTGCTATTTTTGGTGCTGGCTGGCAGAACTTTTAGGAAGCCAGAGAATAGCAAACAGGGGAGAAATTTGGGATATTTGAGGGTTAGTTAGGTGGAAAAATGAGACTAAAGATCATGTTTCAAAATGTATATTAAAAAGTCTTTCTTCTAACATATTAATTTCATTTTTGCAATAATACTTTTTTATTGTTTTAGAATTCCAAAAATGAATGCTAATTCTATGAGAGTATCACTCTCCTCACCAAAACTTCTAGTATCCTCCTGTCACAAATTCCCAGTCTCTTATTATTGCTGTTAAATATGTATGTGTATGTATGTATTCTTATTATTATTATTATTATTATTATTATTATTATTATTATTATTATTATTATTATTATTATTATTATTATTATTATTATTATTATTATTATTATTATTATTATTATTATTATTATTATTATTACAACTATTATTATTATTATTATTATTATTATTATTATTATTATTATTATGCTGGTCTTGTTCAGTTAGCATGCTTTTGAGAATTTGGGCTTCACTTTACCTGTCATGTCTAATAAGAAGCCATCTGTAAAAAAAAGCATGCTTTCTGGGGCTCTGTCTTTACAAGCTTTCTATCCCAATTCCCCCTTTGAGAGTTTCTTGGAGTCTAGGATTTCTAATTTTTGAACTTAAATTGAAAGCAATCTTATTTTACATACTACTCCCAGTTCCCTTTCCCTCCTGTCCTTCCACCCCCACATCATCTCCCCTTCCACTCCTCAGAGAGGGTGAGGCTTCCCATGAGGGATCATCAAAGTCTGCAGGAGAGAGAGAAGGGGAGAAGGGGGGCAAGGAGGAAAACATTAGTGATCAGGAAGGTTGGCTTGGGAGAACAGAGGAGAGCAAGGAAGGAGATACCTTGATAGAGTCCAGGTTTAAGGATTGCATTACAGATGTCTCAGTTGTGATTGGGAACCTCAAAGTCACTCATTCTGTGCTTTTTGGTCAGTTGTGTAACTCTGTAATTGTCTCCATCTATTTCAAGAACCTTCTTCGGTGAGGATTGAGATTAATCTTATCTGTGGGTATAAGGATATAGAATACTGTTATAGAATATGTTGGTTTAAGAATTGACAGTAATAGGTTCTATGACATCTCCATAGTTGTCTAGGCATTACTAGGCATCAATTCTCTTCTGTTGAGTTTAAATTAAATATCTGTCAAATGTATTAGAATTTGGGTTATTGGCTCATTCATATATTTCCTTATGTCTAACTTATTTAATATTACACCATTTCCAGGATAAACAGTATGCCCAGGGCAAGAACTACAATGACAGGTTCCCTGAAAGCTGCCCCACTGAATCTTTTGATACTCCAGAAAACAAGGGGCAAGTTCTAGAAAGCAATGTAAGTGTTTACTCTTTGGTATTTCTTTTCCAGAACAATTGAAGCAATTCAGCATTTCTATACATAGTGGATATGATCAAAGGCACTATAATTATTATATGAACAATAAAGAAATGCTGTATGGTTAATAAATTGTAAGTGAAATATGCTAACTGATCTTTATATGGTCTATAATTTTACATGAAGAAGATTCTTTTACCACCACAAAAACAGGATTTGTACTTGTTATTCTGTAGGAAAGTTTCAATTGATATTAAAATTCATGGTTGAATATTCATTAATGTAAGCAAATGCAATACAAATATAGTTGTATTTCTCATGGTTACTGATGGAACCCAAATTGGCAGCACAGTTGCCAATACTGACCTGTTCATTTCTGACTGTTCTGTAGTTATTGGTTCTGCACCTTTTTCTTTCACTAAGTGTTAATTCCTAACTGACAGCTCTATCTTTACTTTGTAACTGAAAACCACCTGAGAAAATAATCCAATGAACACTTTACATTGTTTCTCAGGATAAAGTCATCCTTTCTGTATGATGGTAAGTCTATATATCACAGCAGCTCAAATTTATAATTGTTATAATGTCTCATTATGATTACTTGCCATAACCCATCTCAGGATTGAGTCAAGTTTGATTAACGGCAAATGTAAGTATACAATTCTCATTTAAATAATTATGATATAAATGACTTAAAATAGAAGAAGCATTAACAATGGGAGTTTGCATAAGAAAACTCATTTATTGAGATGGATTATTTTGCAAGAAACTTCATAGAGCCCTCTACTAACAGCTCTGAGTTTAATCTTCAACAAAATTTCATAACAATGTCAATTTTCACATATGCACCATGGATAATCTCTAAAATAATATTAATAGCTACAGAAATGTTATAGTTTTTATCAAAACTGTCTGTATAGGATTTTATTGCATTTCATTTATTCTAATATGACTGTTAAATTATGGTTTCTTAGTCAGAAGTACTACTGAAATTGGTATGCAATCTACTGTATTCCTGGACTGAACCTCTGTTTCATCTTGTGAATGAAATGTCTGCATTGCAAGGAGACACTAGTGCTATGCTCTCCAAAGCCAGAGAGATTCGGGCAAAATTTGGAGAACTCAGGGTAGGAGTTAAAGTAATACTCAACAAGGTGAGCAGTCTTCTGACAGTTCTTAGCTTTGTTCATGCTCAAATGAAATATTCTTTGTAATGACTACTATATTTTTAAATGTTTTACTTTGCAAAAAATAATTAAAAAGCAATGTAGTTCATGGAGACTATTAGAGAAAACCACAGCCAGTCAACATAAAGAGTTGTGAAGTCCAGTTCCAATGGATACTTCTACATAATATTCCCACATCTATGGCTCAGGGAACATTGCAGAAGATGGGAAGGAAAGATGTAAGAATCACAGAATCAAGGAGTTTATATAAGAATGTTTCTCCTAGGAATGCCAGAAGCTTCATCCATAGTCTCAGCAACATGATTTCCTAAACATGAGATGAACAAGAGCAACACCAATAGATATACCAAAGTGGTCAGGGCTTCAGAGGAGGGTCCATGAGGTCTCAATCCTACACAAAGAACTACAAGCAACTAATGAATATTGAGAAAGGAGAAATAGGCTTCGCCAAGGAAAAATCCATCAGTTGGTTTTCCAATAACAAATCGTTAGCCCTGAAAACATATATATGAGTAATATTACACAGACTGATCAGGTTATTCATAGGAATACATAGGCAAATACATATAAACATGAGCACATAACAACAATTAATCTAGTAATAGGCTGTGGATTTAAATAAAAAAAAGGAACAGTATATGGGAGGGTTTGGAATGAAGAAAAGAAAGGGAGGAAATAATGTAATTTTATTATGTCAAAAATAAAAGAAAAAATAAAATCTTGAAAACAGAAAACATAGGCATCCATATCTGTTATACTCGTACTATAAAAAGGGATACTAGCAACACCACAACTCTCAAATATACTTTACTCATAGTCTCTTATCCAGGGGTAGCAGAAGAAGGCAGAATTTTCTCACTTGGTAGTGTCTTTCCCAGGTTGAAAGACATATATTGAACTGCCTCAGCATATACAGCACAGTCATCCCCTGAATATTTGCCTCTTGAACCATCCAAAGCAATTCACATTTGTTCCAGGCTTTATTGTACACACATTGGCTGGAGATCTTATTTGGTTGAAAATGAGAAGGAATATTGGTTTACTGGCAAATTCCATGACATAGAAAATAAAAACAATACTGAGTCTATACTGAGGAAACACAAAATTTGTTCAATGATAAAAAGGAAATCACTGCCTCTTTGTCACGCTTGTCAAAAATTAAATAGCCACCTGCTGGTTGTCGATCTATCAACTCCTATAAGAAACATTTTATTATATTTCACATGTTCCAGAAAACAAATTCATTAGGGGTTCAGTAAAGTATGTCCATGAAAATCTATATTTATTTTATAATTTTGACTATACAGGTACTGTCACATTTCTGTATTTAAAAAGAGTAAACATCTAAAATACTAAAATATAATTAAAACTTGGCTGACTATCCTTCTGGTTATTATGTTCAGATTGGAGAGAAAGACAATGAGATCTACGTTGCCTGGTCTGGGCTGCCATCCTTACAGTCAAGCAATGAAGATATTCGCGGTTTTGCCTTTTTTAACCTGATCCGCTGCTTGGTCAGAGATTCCCACAGAATAAACACTTACCTCGAGGTCCTCAAGTACAGAATGATCCATCAAAATAACTGCTAACAGCAAATTTCTACCATCTGCTTCTGAGATGCCTCTTGATAAGACAATACTGTAAAACTATCTTTAAATTTTCCCTTTTCTTCTTTAAAAATAAAAACTATTTGGATGTTCTAAAGTCTAATTCAATTGGTTCAAATTTCTTCTGTTAATTTCATGCAAAATCAGAATATTTCATAAATAAAAGAAGTTAAGCACCTAACAAACACAATATACAACTTACTTCAGAGTCCTTGAATGCTGATATATGCAAAATTGTTAGAATAAAAAATGTTACTGTTATACAGTCCCTAATATCCATTAAAAATTGAATTTGTCAGCTACATTTTGAATGCCAATGAGTCTTTATTAGACTTTTTGGAGGGTACTGACTGACAATACAGTTAATATGCATATGCATTATCTTTAAAGTACTGTAAAATTTTTCAGTAATTTTATCTGTATTAGACCACAAGTGTGAAATGGTTCTGAATTTCTGTCTTCAACCATGTTCTGAATTCTTGTCTCCTGAGCATATTAGACCTCTTCCAGATGTTTGATTCATTCGGGTAGAACAAGCTTTTCCAGCTTACATCAAGTTTAGTTGGCACTGACATTTTTTAATACTTTGCCCTCATCTTCAAGTGGTTGAAGTAACATAGCAAGGAAGGCAGAGAAGAACAGATCCTACAACGCTTAATCCCCCTCCATCTGAATATACATTCTTTTGCATTTTTTGAGACATAGAAATTAGAAACAGAAAAAAATATGCCATTAGTGACTTATGACACAATAACAGAGACTAATTTCTGATTACAGCTCAAAACGTATTATTTAGAAGTAGTAAATGCATCTCCTGGGGGTGCACTAGTGTTTTTTCAAAACACATGCTTGAACAACTTAAAAGTGTCTGTATCAATAGAGCTGAGCCAAATGTGGTTGCCCCTCTAGTCTCTGCTCTTTCTTCCTTCACATTGAGAAAATTGCCTCCATGTGTATTTGATAGTTTGATATATTTTTTGTTCAGTTTTGTAGTCAATTTATTGAGTGGGTTGACCATGAGATATGATTTTGATGGTATGACAAAATATTTTTAGATAAATGAGAAACACCAAATGTGTATCAGTTAATCTACAATGTATAATATAATACATGTATAGCCCAGATATTCAACAAAAGAAGATACAATTTTAGTTTATATATATCACTGTAAGAAATCAGAAAGGAACTGATACTTTTGGACATATTGGACATCACTAACTATTTTATGGTATATATATTTCTACATGATGACAATGGAGAAACACATGGTGAGAATAATCACTACGTTTTACAGCATGATGCACATGGGTTTTGAAAGTTTGTATTTCTTCTATGAAACAGTGGGAAAGTAGTCCAACCTAGCCCAAGAACAATATATGTCAAGACTCATAAATAAAAAAACAAATTATAATCTAGCTTGTAAGCTTATGGAATTGTGGACTTGTAAAAAAAGAACCCAGGAACATATGCAACTATCATCATATCATTCTAAAATAAAATAAGTGTAGGATAAATAAATAAAATAAAGAGCAATAAAAGCAAAGAGAGAAAAGCATGTGGGAAACTCTGGTGCATTAGTAGGCCACTAGGATGTGAAGGAATAAATCCAAGAGACTGTCACAGTAGATCTGCTCTAAATGGTTGTTCCAACAAGCAGATTATATACATAAAAGGTATATATGTATATATACCTTTTATGTAATATATATATATATATATATATATATTTTGAGAGAGAGAGAGAGAGAGAGAGAGAGATCGATATATGTCTCTCAGCATAGAAAGTGCTAGTATATTACTGGATTCTAGTCTACTGCAGGATTCTACAAAATATTTAAGCAGAGATAAAACTAATGATGATTTAAATCTTCTATAAAATTAGCAAGTTGGGGATAAATATAAAACTCATTCTACCATGACAACATGATCTTAATAATTTTAGACATAGAGTAAAGGATTATCAGCCTACCTTCCACACTGCCAGAGAAGCTAGTAAATAAGGAGGACACTAAGAGAGACATACATGGTCCACTGGAGAAGGGGAACAGGACAAGATCTCCTGAGCAACTTGCGAGCATGGGGGAGGGGAGAGGGAACTAGGAGAATGATTAGGAGGGGTGAGGAAGACATGATGGGGCAGGGAGGTTAAGTTGGGGGAAGAACAGAAGAGATCAAGATAAGAGATACCATAATAGAGGGAGACATTTTAGGTTTACAGAGAAATCAGGCACTAGGGAAAAGTCTGGAGATCTACAAAGATGACACCAACTAACAATCTAAGCAACAGAGGAGAAGCTACCTTAAATGCCCTCCCCTGATAATGAAATTGATGACAAATTCATATGCCATCCTATAGCCTTCATCCAGCAGCTGGTGGGAGTAGAAGCAGACACCCACAGCTAAACCTTGAACTGAACTGAAATCCAATTGCAGAAAAGGAGGACTGATGAGCAAAGGGGTCCATACCAGGCTGGTGAAACCCACAGAAACAGCTGACCTGAACAAGCGAGAACTCTTTGTCCCCAGACTGATAGCTTGGAAACCAGCATTGGACTTATCCAGACCCCCTGAATGTGGGTGTCAGGGAGGAGACTTTGGAAATCTATGGGGCCCCTTGTAGTGGATCAGTTACTTATCCCTAGCATAGGAATGGACTTTGGGAGCCCATCCCACATGGCGGGATACTCCCAGAGTCTAGACACAAAGATGTTGTCCTTGTGTCTAGGCTGTATCCCAAAGGGTATAAGAGACTTTGAAGACCCACTATCGAAGGCCTCACCCTCCCTGGGGAGCAGAAAGGGTATGGGATAGGTAGGGTGTTAGTTGGGGGGCAGGGGAGGAGGGGAGGTAGAGGGACATGGGATTGACATGTAAGATAATTTTCTTTCTGATAAAAAAAGGAGAAAAAATAATTACAAAAAGAAAAAAAAAACGAAGAAAGCACATAACAAAAAAATCAAATTTCTTCTGATCTGAATTAAAGAACACAGTAAAATATAGTGGGAAATTACCAATACAGAGTCAGGTAGAAATATAAGGGTATTTAATAGGGAAAAGACTTACTTACAGAGAGACCTAGCCAGATGGCATGGCATCGATCTGTACACAAGCCCAAAAGAGAAAGCGAAAGAGAAAATGCAGTCACACTACTTCACCCTGACCACGCCCTCACAAACATGGTCAGGCACACCTGTAGCCAGCCCCTAAGTAGGCATGGCTACAGCTTCCCCTACAATTCCCCTTTTAGTCTAAAAGAGGACTAAAACTTAACAGTGTAAAGTATCCAAAATTAACAATCATAAAGGTAAAATATAAGAAAATACAACAATCTGCTTATGTCACATCCTAACTATCTATTTTAACTAAACCCTAAAGTCTTCTGAGAGAGGTATCCAAGCCTGAACACCTCCTTCCAATCCCAACCATAAACAATAGGAAGCTATTCCTAACTAGGTATATACACTATCCTAAGTGACAACAATGGGGAAAGGGGGCATAGCATCCTCCAAGTTACTTCCTG